AGTAGAATTGCTGGGTCAAATGGTATCTCTATTTGCAACTTTTTGAGAAAGCGCCACACCACTTTCCACAGTGTTTACACCATTTTACACTTCCACCAATGGTAAATAAGGGTTCCAGCTTCTCCACAACCTCGCCAGCATTTGTTACCTACTGTTCTGTTAAATTTTGCTATTCTGACTGGGGTGAGATGATATTTCATAGTTTATTTGATTTGCATCTCTCTTAGAGCTAGGGATTTTGAACATTTTTTTCATATTCGTATTTGTTGGCCCTCTGAATGCCTTCTATGGTGAAGTGTCTGTTCATATCCTGAGCCCATTTTTCAACTGGGTTGTTTACCTTATGGTGTGCAGTGAACTCTTCGCCACTGTGATGAAGGTACCCCTGTGACACATCATCAGATACCTGAATGAGCACAAGACCCTCACGAGATGGATCACCACGGGGGGCTGTAGCAATGCAATGGGCTCGCGTATTTCAGAGATGCCGAGGACGGCACAGGTCAGACAGAGCTCAGATCTGTTACGCACAAGATCACCAGGAGTCGCGGGCAGCTTGGGGGCACAGAGCCACAACCACGAGTGTGAGATCAACTCACACGCTTCTCAAGGAAATGTCACAGAACCTGCTCTCGAGAGTTCTGAAGATGTCACCATCCTTTGGGGATGAATGATCTTTCTAAAGCAGGCACAGAGAAGCTTGCAGGGGGTCACTGGGAGGATTCTGAGATGTCTCTGCTGTTACAGGACACATGGATTTAGAGCTTGGCCCGCTGGTGAAAAATCTACAAGTGAGACTTGGGTTAGATGGCCAGCTGCGTGAGGGGTGACCTTAGGGACAGGTATGTGCTGCCCGGGACGGCCAGCTCCTCCAGGACCAGCGATGGCCATGGCAAAGAAAGTCTGTTCTCAGGGGGTCTTGGCTCCCCAGGCAGGGTGAGGGGAGCTCAGCAGAAAGAGGCTGGACATGGACCTTAACGGAGGGAATGAACAGGCACCCTGGCAATGAAATGCAAATCCTCAAGCCAAGGATCAAGGAGCTCTGGTGGCTGAGTGGTAAGGAACTGGGCTGCCAACCCAAAGGCATGCAATTCGAATCCATCAGCTCCTCCCCTGGAGACAGACAGGCAGTCCCCTCCCGTGTGATTTACTACATCTGAAAACCCACCGGAGGGTCAGCTACTCAAAGGTACCTCACACTGCTGCACTTCTGTGTGGTGAGAAATGATCAGTTTATGAGCTTCTGCTGAGCAGAGGGTGGCTCACGACGACTTGGTGTATGGCAAGGCAGACTGGGCTCCAGTTTTAAATGCTGACTCTTTGTTCAGCCTGAGACCATTAGGACTTTCTTCTGAAGCATCTCTGGGTGGCCTTGAACTTCTGGTATTTATTTCAGTTCGCAGGATAATTGCCTTCACTACCCAAGGACTCCTTCCTGAGCAGCAATACCAAATCATTGTCTTAATGAGTAAGACCCTTAAAACCTGTGAAGGAATCAGTCTTACTAGATCTCGTCTGTAGATCTGTCCAGAGCCCAGTTTCCAAACACACTGACCTATTTACTCTAGCCGATACCTATGTATCAAGCACTTGACAGAACTTCTCCGGTAGCTGGAAGAATTCTAGGATGATAATGGCATCTACCCAAACATAATAGAGACTTTCATTGAACACTCAGACAAACACGGTGTTTGGTAAATAATGAGTAAGCTTGCTGACTTCTGGCATTTTCTAGTGTTTGTTTACAGATTTTGGTGTGATGAGGCCAAGACTGAAGGCACGAATCCTTCTCTGAGCCACAGCTTACTGTGTTCCCAAATCTCTTTCTCTCCAACCTTGGGCACATCAGGTAAACCCTTCCAACTTCAGCTTTTACCCCCATCTTTAAAAGCAAGGACAGTAATAACACTCTTCCTAGCTAGCTGCAATCATGATAGATGGCATGAGAAGTGTCCTGAAAGAGGAAAGTGCTACAGAAATCCTAATTGTAATTGACCACAGTAGTCATAAACAAAAACTCCATTTTCCAGAAAGAAGCGAACACATCCTCGTAGTAGGCAAAATAGCAGCCCCCCCCCCCAAAACATGTTCCCTTTCTCATCTAGTAGCCCATGAATGTTTCCTTATGTAACACAAAGGTCTTGGTAAAGGTGACTAAGGTTATGGCTCTTGGGATAGGAACATTACTCTGGACTGTGTAAACCGGGCATCCCTCTATCTTACTGTTGTAGACTTGGAACCAACTCACAGCCAACCCTCCAGTCTGTGTACAGAGGCTACAAATCTCACAGGCGGAGACTGCCTGTCTTTCTCTTGTGAAGCGGCTGGTGGATTTGAACACCTGAGGGTTAGCAATGTAGTTCCCTACCCACTAGGTCACCAGAGATCCTGTCTTGGCTGTGTTTAAAAAAGACAGCCGCTGTGCTGGGAGAAGGGTCAGGGAGATGGGAGGCTGATGCCCTTGAAGGCAGGATAAAAGGCCGGATAAAGCAAGGACACCACAGATTCTCTTCCCCAGAGTTACCACAAGGGAATTCAATCTTTTTTTTTTTTTTTAGGGAATTCAATCTTGCTTAACGTTGATTAAAAGGTTTGAATCTAGTGAGACCTACGTCACATTTCTGAGCTAGAAAACTCTAAGATAATGAGTAATGTCTCAAAGCACTGTTTGCATTCATTTGCTCCAACGGCAATAAGAAACCACACTGTGGTGTAGAATTGGAACAGGAGTGTTAGCAGACAACGGGGTGACTTGATACCTGGAACAGTGGAATAAGCGAAGAGGAAGTCAGCTTCGACTGGAATCTTGTACTGAGGATTAGTGTCCGCGTCACTGACAACGCCGGAGTCGGCCTGGATTCCGTCATCGAACTCCGAGCCACGGCACGCCTACAATCAAAGCAGAGGTTGACAATGGGGTGCGACTAAAAACGCATGGTTTCGTGTACCATGGTGCACTCGGCATGTGGCGGGAGCTTAAGGGTGGACAAATGAATGAATGAATGAATGCAGAACAGGATGGACGAACGAATGAAGGCAGAATCACCACACAGAACAGAGGGATCGCAGTGTCCGCAGCTACATGAAAAGCTTCTCACTGTCATTCATCATTCATTTGGGAAAGGACATCAAAATCACAACAAGGCATCACTGCACACCTGTTGTTGTTGTTACGTGCTGGTCACTTGCAACTCAAAGTGTGAATCACACCCATGAGGATGCCAGTTATTAAAAAACCCAGAAAAGAACGCGTGTCGGTGAGGATGTGGCAAGCTGAGAGCCCTGGTGCACTGCCCTGTGAGAATGTAAAACACGGCTCAGCAGCTGGGCAAAACAGCTTGCTGGCTCTTCAAAAACGTAAATGTAGCTTGACCCCATGACCCAGCAATTCCACTCTTAGTTACAGACATGAAATAATGGAAAACGTGCAGTGAAACAAATGCGCGCGCGCACACACACCCCCCCACACACGCGCACAGAAACACTATTTACAACACCAATGTGCACCAGTGGGTGGAGGGATAAATAAGACGTGGCTGGCATGTGTGCGCGCATGCACACACACACACACACACACACACACACACACACGCCATAAAGAGGAATGAAGTACAGTATACATGCTAGAATACAGATGGGTTTCATAAACATTGTACTAAGGAGAAGAAGCCAGGGACAATTTATAGAAACTACCCAGAAAAGGCAAAGCTATAGAAACAGACCCCAGATTGGTGATAGCCAGGTGTTAGGATGAGGTGTAGAGAGTGATGTTTTAGGGGGGCTTCTTTTCAAAGTGATAAAATGTGTTCTAACTACAGGGAGGTTGTGGCTGCCTAAAACTGGAAATGCATACAAAGCCCATATTCAGCTTAAAATGGCTCGCTTTATGCTATGTGACTAGCATCTCAATGGGAAAAAAACCAGTTCAATGAAAAATAAACATACTGTCGTCTCTTAAAGAAGAGTTCATAACTATGACCCATTGCGAAGATACAATGACAGCTATTTAAAAGGTAAAAATCATAATGTCAAATTTGCAGATGGCCACTGAAATATCACGTGACTCTGTAAAACAGATGCAGCCCCAAGGCGCTGCAGACTTCTACCACTCTGAACTGCACTGGCTTTGAAAAGTGTTACCTGAATGAAGAAGAGTTTGGGCTTCTCTAACAGCGTTCTGCACCTGTCTCCCCGAAAGCAGGCTGTCAGATCCTTTATCGGTGTCATTCCATCTGTTCCGTAAATTAGGTTCTCTTCGCCGTGGCTTAACATGATGCAGGCAAAGCAGGCCGAGTTTGTATGGTCCTCTTCGGAAGCTGCAAAGAAAAAGTGCAAGCACAGAACAGCCAGGACGTCTGTGCTGAAGGCCACAGCTGCTGGGTCCCCATCCAGCCCTTCAGCCCTGTGGTGGTAACAGGAGAGGCACAGCCGAGGGGGAGGGACCAGGCAGACCGGGTTCTGGACTGGACTTCATCTGGGCCAATCTCTCAAAAGTCTCCCCTAAAATGCTTTCATTCAATAGTGGGATGCAATAAACACTCAGCTGCTCCAGAGGTGGAAGTTCAGGGCCCAAGTTCAAGTCCCTCCTCTCCCCCCATTAATACTGCCCCTTCTCAAGTCCAGTCTACAGTCACATCACCAGGACAGTGTTAAATAGTAATGACATGATTGGCGGGAAGTGCTTTACACAAATGAAGTATTTCAGAAGTGTGTGTGTGTGTGTGTGTGATTAAAAACAGGCTTAGTGGCACAATGGTTAAAGTGCTTGTCTGCCATGATCACTGGTTCAAACCCACCAGCAGCTGTGAGGGCGAACAGAGCTGGCAATTTGTGCCTGTAATGATTACAGCCCAGGAAACTCTAGTGGGTAAGGAGTTGCACTGCCAAACCCGAGGCAGGTGGTTCGGATCCACCAGCTACTCTGAGGGAAGAGGACGGGGAACCTCCTCCTGTACAATTTACAGCTTCTGAAAACCTCCTGGAGGATCAGATGTGAGGCAGTTCTGACTCTTGCAATGAGTCTGAGTCTACTCCTTTGACCTGACACTGAGGGTGAGGAAAGCTCCGCAGTGAGCTGGTCTGTTCAAGAGTGGTAACGACGCAACTAGGGAGAGGCTGGAGAGCACTACGCTGAGTGAACTAATGCAGTCTCATCAGGACAAATACGGCAGAAGACCATTATTATAAAAATAGAAGAATAACTAGTAAAGCCGTACGGGAATTCAAGGGGGCAGGGCGGAGGGGTGAGGACAGGTAGGAGTGAAACCACAGGGCTGCAGAGTTTGGTGGGTGGAGGGGGGGAAGCAAATGGGAAGACTCTAGGTGAAAAGACAGGGTGATGATGAACAAGGTCCAATGGTGATTAATTTTATAAAACATAATGCATGAGAACGACTATAAAAACACAGTGTGAATGAAGACAGTGTGAAACACAATGTTTGCAAACTTTGTAAACAAAGCAATAAAAATATATAATAAATAAAGTGTGGTAAAGATGGACTTGAACATGAAGGTGGACCATGAGGATAATGAATGCATCGACAGGCAATGATTTTACTGTGGTGAATCTAAGGTCATAATAAGTTAGAACTGAAAACTAGGATAACAGTACAGCTATCTCTCCCTTCCTCCCTCCCTTCCTTCTTTCCTCTCTCCATCAATTTCTATTTATATGCAACTAGACAAGAGTTCACACTTAAACTCCATTCTGAGCAGAATGGTAAGAGACTGGTCACTTCCCTCGGAATAACCCTTTGGAGCCCGCTGAGTATTCCTTAGATATAGAACCTCTTTGCTCTCATTTAAACTGTCATCCTTTGATGGAGATAATCCTAGTTTTCAGAGTCCTGCCTACCCTACCGACAAGTGTAGACTAGCTGAGAAGACAGACTTCTCGGGCTGGGATTCCTCAGCTCTGCCAACAGGCCCTCCTGGGGCCTGCATGGGGCATGGGTGCTGAAGCTGGTCCCCCAGGGCCCAGGAAGAAGACCAGGGAGGAGAGGTCAGTGTGCACCTTGTTTGAGTAAGTCCTGCATCCGGTCACAAGAGCAGTCATTGTAGACGATGACGTCAAAGCCGAGGCGTCGGAAGCTCTTGAAGAGGGCCTCGGCATCTTTGTCGGTTCCATTCCTGGGCCCCATTCCTGTGGGAATCAAGTGACAGGCCAGTGGATATGCAGTCTCTAGCTAACGCTACTGTGTGGTTATCATCAGAAGTTCCTGGAAAGTACAAATGGTCAACTGCCCACTGAAAGGATGGAGGTTCAAATTCACCCAGGGGGGCCTAAAGAGAAAAGCATGAAATCCACTTTTTTTTAAAAAAATTAATTTTAATGAAAGTTTACAGAGAGGCTGAGGATTTCCATTCATTCATTGTTGCACTTTTCTCCCTGCCCAGCCCTCCCTCCCTAATTCGCTCTTCTCTTTGAAAAGTAAAAGAAAAATTCCTTCACTGTTATACAATCTCTCCTCCCAAGTCCACCCTCTACTTTTTTTAAAAAAGTGAGCCAATGGAAAACAATGTATTTGAATTTTGTAAAAATAATTAGTATAAAACAACAACTATGACAAGCCTCTGCAAAACTCAGTGAGTTCTATTCTGACATACTTGGGATCTCCTTGAATGTGGACTGATGAGAAGGCAACCGGTAGGGTAGAAAGGCATGCCAGAAATTAAAGGCAGTTCCAGTGTCCAATCTCTGTGTGCTCAGAACACCATCCAAGGCCATTATCTTAAAGGAGCCAATAATATGAAAAGTGACCCCGAGGGACAAGGTCACACGGCCTGCCCATGAAGGTGTCCACTATTCTGGTATCTCTCTGCCATAGCCAAGTGCACAGGGCTCCTCTCACGCTCCATTTGTTTTTAGTCCTTTCCTTAGAGGCTCCTACAAGCTAATAAGCACAGCACAAAGCTCCTGGTTTCCCGGCACTCTTGTCTCCTGGAGGAGAATGCATTTCTGGTTATAGGTTGAAGGAAATGCAAAGGTCAGACCATATCTATGACACCTACCTGTTACCTTTTCAAAGTTCTTGTTGTTTATTATGATGCATTTGCCCACCTTCTCGAAATTCATGTTATATCGATGTGGAGACACACTCCCTTTGTCCTGTTTGCTCTTGACAGACTGTGAACTGCTTTTCTTCTTACTGGGGAAATAGAAAGCTAGTCAGGGGTCATGGAAGAAGTTGGGGTAGTAACTGTCAGCACCAAAACGAACTGGTCAATGTTCAGCAATTTCAGGAGGCTGCATGTAATCAGGAATTGATAGGACTGGAAGGTATAGGTCCGAGCTACGCTGAAGACATTGGTAAGAAACAGGCTTCAATAAATAATGGAATACCAACTAAGACAGTTCAACAAAGAGGCACAGTCTTGGAAGCACGCACTCACCTATGCCAAAACCTTTGGAAAACCTGGCCACCATGTCAACCTTTGTTGAAGATAATTTAAAAACAGCTGTGTTATCACATCAAGCTAACTGGCAGAAGCCCAGGCCACATTCAAAAGAAGACATGGAATGAGGGCTATTATTGCTGATGTCAGATGGATATTGGCTGAAACAAGAGAATACCAGAAAAATATTTACCTGTTTTAACAGACCATGCAAAGGCATTTGCCTGTGTGGTTCAAAACAAATGATGGCTAACATTAAGGAGCATGGGAATTCCAGGACACTTGTGTTCATGCAAAACCAAAAGATAGTTATGAAAACAAAACATAGGCATGTTCTGTGGTTTGTATCAGAAAAAGGTATGCATTAGGGTTATATCCTTTTAGTATACTGATTCAGTATATGTTGTTGTTGTAGTTATGAGCCGTCGAGTCACCTGTGACTCATAGCGACCCTATGTACAACAGCCCTAAACCCTGCTCTGTCCTGTGCCAATTTCACTGTCTCTGACACACCTACCCCCATTACCCCAGTCACTGAATCAATCTATCACATCGAAGGTCTTCCTCTCCTGTGCTGTCCCTCCACCCTCTCAAGCATGACGTCCCTCTCCAAGGACTGGTCTCTCCTTGCAACATGTCCAAAGTATGTCAGATGAAGCTTCAGAATCCTTGCCTCCAACGAGCAGCCTGGCTTCACCCTCTCTAGGACAAACCTGTTCATTTTCTTAGCAGTCCAAGCTATATTCAATACTCTTCTCCAGCACCACAGCTCAAAGGCATTAATTCTCCTATCCTCTCTAGTCACTGTCCAGCTCTCTGATAGCAAGTGCTAAATTTCTGTCAGGTTTAAAGAAAACTTCAGGGGGTATTTTGGCTTAAGGTTTAAAGATAATTTCAGGACCATCAATAATTCCAGGAGTTCATCCACTGTCTGTGGCTCCAGACCATCAAGAGCCCGTGGGAATGGGAAATTTCGTTCTGCATTTCTCACATTTTGATCAGGATTCATCTGTGGGGTCTTTGATAAAATGTTAAGTGTAGCCAGGCACCATGCAGCTCTCCTGATCTCACAAGAAAGATGGTAGTTATTCAAGGACACAGTCACATATTTCAGACCTTCCATCTATCCCTGATTCTTCTTTCTCAGTCGTTCAACAAGAACAGAGACTAACTGTTGGGCCTTGGATGGACCCTTGTAGGCTTTTAAGTCCCAGGTACTATCCAAGGAACTAGGAGACAAGAAGCACTAAGCCTACTTTTGGGCTAATTACAAGAATGTTCCACGAAGCCATGACTCTACACCTCCAAGCCAAGGAGCCAAATGCCACTGAAGGGTCTAGCTGAACGGAGCAGCTTCAGCAGCTTTTAACATCATGTTTTCCTCACACGTCTCCCCAGGAACAGCACAGGAACACACCGAACCGGGGGTCAAACAAAGCTCTGGGTCCGTGTGGCCTGGGCCAGTGCAAACAGTGTCCTGCACAGTGTCAGCGTCCTCCTCTCGCAAACGGAGCTGGTCCCACGTGGAAGGCAAAGCACTGCGGAATCATCCCAGAGACAGGTAGGCAAGCTGGCGGCAGCAGGTACTTCCTGCTCCATAAAACTGTCTTCTCCCCCTTCCATGTCACCTTAAAAGTCATGAGGACACAGCTCTGAGCATTATGAGTTCTTGCTCTCTTCAAGGGCTTGCTCCTGGGGAGAAGGAAGGTGCATTTCCTCATTGCTGCCCTGTCAATGATCCATACTTACTGACATGTCTTCGGTGCACAGGCTTTTAAAGACAGAGCCTGGCTTCCTCTGAGTAATCCGAGATGGCACACTCATGCCCATTTTACAGGTCACAGTAGTAACAATGAACCCTTGTCCGCTGGCACTTATGATGGCTGGAGAAGGCCCCAGGGGGTAGGGGTGGGGGACACAGTTTGCACCTGATGATTAGCCTAAAAGCCTAGTGGTCTGAATCCATCAGCAGCACCATAGCAATATTGCTGATCTGATTCTGTTAAGATTCCCATTACGTCTGAGCAGATTACAGCCCTGCAAGGCACAACAGAACGGACCTGTGGCGATTCTAACGATCTAATCTTCACAGGAGAAGATTGTGTCCTAAGTCTTCTGCAGAGCAGCTGGTGGGTTCAAACTGGTGACCTCTGAGGTAGCAGCTGGATGCTGAACTACTGCGCCACCAGGGCTGTCTGTGATGATTGTTGTTGTTGTTGTTGTTGTTATGTGATGTGCCGTCAAGTCGCTTGCGACTCATAGAGACCCTATGTACAACAGTCCTAAACTCTGCTCTGTCCTGTGCCAACTGCACTGTCTCTGACACTCTCATGCCAACTATCCCAGTCACTGAATCAATCCACCTTGTAGAGGGCCTTCCCTTCCTGCGCTGTCCCTCCACCCTCCCAAGCATGATGTCCCTCTCCAAGGACTGGTCCTTCCTTGCAACATGTCCAAAGTATGTTGGATGGAGCCTCAGAATCCTTGCTTCCAAGGAGCAGCCCAGTTTAACTCTCTCCAGGATGAACCTGTTCATTTTCTTAGCAGTCCATGGTATACGCAATACTGTTCTCTAACACCACAGCTCAAAGGCATCAATTCTTCAAAGAAAACTCTACAGAGCCGTTCTGTCCTTTGACACGTGAGGCTGCCATGAGTTAAAGTCAATATGATAGCAATTAACAACCATCACCACCACCCCTCCGAGCTTGGAGCTCGTCGATTTCCCCTGCACTTTCTCCCTGGATCCTGACAGGGCAGCGGGAGGTAGACACTATCATAAGCCTCTTTAAGGATGAGCAGTGAGGTTGTTGGTTCAAGGTCCAGCAGAGTGGGCTGAGTCACGGAGCAGCTGCAGCAGACCCAATCCAGAGAGTCCAGGAGGCTGCCTTCTTACCCTCTGGGTAATGGGGGCATATCCCGATGGAAACAGCACGGTGATGAGATTCCAGACAAAACCAAATACAACCTGTCTCCAGAAAGGCCATCCTGTGCTGTCAACACTAGCAATCGCAAGACAGTGGCCGGGGGCTCTCCAGAGCAATCAAGCTTAGCAATGCACCCTGGGAACTGGCCCTCCATGGCAGGCACCTTCCTGAATGTGCCTGACTGGGTCTGATCATGGTGCAGTGGGAAAGCCCACCTTTAACTTTTCTGAGTCCATGGTCTCATCTAGAAAAAGGAGTTTAGGATCAAATGGGAGGGGGTGTATGAAGGTGCTCTGACACTGACACGCACCTGCCGGGTTAGTGCCAGAAGTGTTACACAATCATTACTTGTCCTCCCAGCTACTGTTTGGTTTGCAGAGAAGCAAGTTCAAGTTCAGATGGGGATGCCACCTTGTGATCTAGCTGCACGGTGTGGGTAGTCTTTACTTCACTGCCCTGGTTCGTGGGATAAATGCTATCCCTGACATTCAGATTCAGAGACAGGATTTTCACCTCTGTCAGCTTCCAACTGGGAAGACAGAAGTTAATTTGTGATCATTCTTAGTGTGTTGGAATCAGTGAGACTGGATCAGGATCTGGGAAGGTTCAGAGCTGTTGTACATAGGGTCGCTAGGAGTCTCAGGAGACTCAAAGGCACATAACAATAATAAGATTGTTGTTGTTGTTGTTATGTGCTATTGAGTCAGAACCAACTCATAGCTGAATGGCTTCTCAGAGGTAGTAAACTGCACAGCAAAAGACTGTCCATCTTTCTCCTATAGGGCAGCTGGTGGATTTGAACCTTTGAGTTAACAGTGTAACTCCTTTACCATGAAACCACCAGAACCCTGTAAACTGCTATTAATCTACTATCAGTTATGAGCAAAACACAGCTAGCAACATCTTTTATAAGCAAAGCAAGCTCGGACATAAGTTTCATAAAGAGAAATACAGAAAAAAACCATTATTTTATCAGAATATTATCTGGGAACTGCATGGTTCAAAGAAAACACAATAAGAAAACAAAGATAAACGGTTCAAAGAAAACACTACCCAAGAAAAGTACCTTGAAATTTAACAAGAAAAATGATTCTTATCTCTGGTAACTATCTTGAAAGGGTGGCATGGGAATTTCCCATATGTGTCCCGCCCCTAAAGTGAACTCCTGTTTTAAAAAATTAATTTAATATATGCTTCCTTTCTGGAACTGAGTCAGCCAATATCAGTCTTTCCTTCTAACCCAAATAGTTCTTTGTTATGTATGCATAGCCTCCCCAGAGCACAGATTTATACCGGCTGACCTCAAAGATATTGTGGGCTGGGTGCTAGATCACTGCATTAAAGGAAGTCAGATTAATTTTTTTGACCTGCTAGGGATGTGATGCTTGGGAGGGTAAAGGGACAGCGCAAGAGAGGAAGACCCTCAATGAGACAGAGTGACTCGGTGACTGGTGTAATGGGGGTTGGTGAGTCAGAGACAATAAGATTGGCACAGGACAGAGCAGGGTTTAGGGCTGTTGTACATAGGGTCGCTATGAGTCGCAAGTGACTCGACGGCACATAACAACAACAACAACATTGCAATTGAGTGTCATTAAGTTCATTATGACTTACGACAACCTTGTGAACAACAGACCTGAACCTCACCCGAACCTGCACTGTTCTCATCATCCAATAAGCTCAAACCCATTGCTAGAGTCACTGTGCCAATCTGTCTTGTTGAGGGCCTTCTTCTTGTTCTCTGACCTCTACCTGTCCCAGCAAGATGTCTTTTTCCATGGGACTGACCCCTCTTGACAACATGCCCAGAATATGTGAGACGAGGT